GAGCCGATCACAATGATCTACCTATAACCCCCTCCCAGGGGGATAGACAACAGAAAAGTGGGTGAAGGGAGCCATCAGTCAGTGTAAGACATGAAAAAATAATAATTTATAAATTATCAAGGGTTCATGAAGGAGGGAAGGGAAAAATGAGAAGCTGATACCAAGGGCTCAAGTAGAAAGAAAATGTTTTGAAAATTATGATGGCAACAGATATACAAATGTGCTTGACACAATGGTTGGAAGTATTGTGATAAGAGTTATATGTGCAAAAAAATCCCCAAACAAACAAAAAAGTTGTATGAGCCCCCCAACAAAATGATTTAAGAAAAAGAGCAAAAAACAACAGCTAGTGACATTGTTCTGACTGCCTTTTAGGAGTAGGAAACTTATGGTAAGAATGACTCTTCATTTTCTGGATGAGTGCCCTCTTTCTTACTGCCCTTTTCAAGAGATCCTCGTCCTCGTCTTTGAGAATGGCTTCCTCTGCTCCACGCCTTTAAGCCTTCGGACACTAGACAAGCGGTTTGTGTGTGTGCCCGTGGACAAAAACCGTAGCTTTCAGTAAATGAAGAGCACTTGTGCAACAGATTTACCGAATCCAGCTCATCTTTTGATCTATTGATCGCTGTTTCCATGAGCATTGAATGTGGGTCCAAACAGGATGAGATCCTTGACAACGTCAATCTTTTCTCCATTTATCATGACCTGTTGGTCCATTTGTGAGGATCTTGATCTTTTTCAAGTGCTTCAAGTCCTCTTTACTTCTCAGCAAGCAATGTTGTGTCATCTACATGTCACAGATTGTTAAGCCTCCTGTCATTTCGGATGCCACATTCTTCATATAAGTCAGTTTCTCTGATGATTTTCTCAGTGTGCAGATTGAATAAGCGTGGTGAGAGGATACAACTCTGATGCACAACTTTCCTGATTTTGAATCATGCAGTACACCCTTGTTCTGTTCACACTACTATCTCCTGATCTGGGTACAGGTTTCATGTGAGTGCAGTGAAGTGTTCTGGAGTTCCCATTCTTCTCAAGGTTGTCCATAGTTTGTTGTGATCCACACAGTTGATTGCCTTTGCATAGTCAATGAAACCCAAGTAAGCATCTTTCTTGTATCATCTGACATCAGCAGTGAGGGGTTCCATGGTATCTTCTGAATCCGACCTGAACCCCTGGCAGTCTGCTGTCAGTGTCGTGTTACAGCTTTTGTTGGATGATCTTTTACCTGCATGTGATATCAGTTATGTTTTTCTGTAATTTGCACATTTTGTTAGGTCACCTGTCTTTGGAATGGGTGCAAGTATGGCTCTCTCCCAGTCATTTGGCAGAGTAGCTGTTTTCCTAATTTCTTGGTATAGGACTCCGTGTTTCCAGTGCTTCATCAGCTTGTTGAAACATTTCAGTGGGTATTAAATCAATTCCTGGAAGCTTGTTTTTGGCTAATGCTTCCCATGCACCTTGAATTTCTTCCTTCCGTATATTGATTCTTGCTCTTGAAATGATTGAATGCCGACTAGTTCTTTTTGGCATAATGACTCTGTGTATTCATTTTTTGATGCTTCCTGCATCATATTTTGCAAGTAGAGTCATTCAGTATTGCTACTCGGAGCTTAAATTTTTTCTTCATTTCTTTCAGTGTATTATAAACTGAGTGTATTCTTCCTTTTTAGTTTTCTAACTCGTCTTTGCACATGTCATTGTAATGTTTTCCTCTGTCTTTGCAAGCTGCCCTGTGAAATTGTCTGTTCAGTCTTTGACTTCACCATTTCTCTCATTTGCTACGCTGTGCTTAAGAGCATGACTCAGAGCCTTTGCTGACATCCACTCTGATCTTTTTTTTCCTCTCATGTATTTTTAATGACCTTTTGCTTTGTTCATGTATGATATTCTTGGTGTCATCCCATACCTCATGAGATCTTCTGTCAGTGTTCCTAAGATTGTCTCAAAATTCAGGTGGAATATAAGTCGTATTTGGGCTCTCGTGGACTTAAGTGTGTTCAGTTTCAACCTGAGCTTACATCAACTGATGACCTATGCCATGGTCAGCCCCTGATCTCATTTTAGCTGCTGAGACGGAGCATCTCCACGAACTTTCCCCACAGTTGGAGTAAGGAGACATTCACACGTACAGTTGCCTTTTAAGTTCAAAAAGGTATTTCTGATGAAGAAGTCTTGGATTTTCAAAAATCTATCATGTGATCTCTAGCTTCATTTCTACACCAAGGCCATATTTTCCAACTACTGTTCCATCCTCTTTGTTTCCAACTTTTGCGTTCCAATTGCCAATATTTATCCATGCATCTTGATTTCATATTTGATCAATTTCAGTCAGAGGATTAAAATTCTTCGATTTCTCCATCCACTAACTTTAGTGGTTGGTGCATAAACTTGAATAATAGTTGTGCTGATTGGATTTCCTTGTCTGTGGATAGATATTAGCAGGATAGATAGATGATAGGTAGATAGATAGATAGATAGATAGATAGATAGATAGATAGATAGATAGATAGATAGATAGATATTAATAGCATGGTACTTCTAGATCAATCTTGAAATGCTCTTTTTGACAATGGCTGCAATGCTGTTCCTCTTGAATCTGTTATTCCCAGCAAACGACACCTTGTGATTTTCTGGTTCAAAATG